TTGTTATGGGAGCAGACAGCTGCATGTTTCTCCAGAGAAGCAACTGGTGAGTTCCAACCACCAACCTAGTAGCCCAGTGCCTAACTCACAGTACCACCAAGCTCACATACACACACACACATATATATACACACTTATTTGTACGATGAATCCACTGAGAATTTCATGTTCTAAAATGAAGTTGAGACCTTCATTTTCTAAAATGAAATTTTTAGTGGATTCATCCTACACAGTTTTTCACCAGGGGGAAACAAACCCTTTATTGCTTTAAGCGTGGTTCTAGTTGCTGGAAATGCAGACCCTTAGTCCCTTCCCTCGACTTCCAGGATCAGCACCTGAATTTGAACAAGCTCTCCAGGTGATTCATATTCACCTTACAAATCTGGGAATGGCTGACCTCCAGTGGTATGACCATGCACCTGTGGGAGGTCACCTGACTCGCAAGTGTCCACGTTGGCCAGTATACCAGTAATCACTAGGGATGGGGGAGGAAAGGCAAATATGGTCTGCAGTCCAAACGGTCTGTCTCCCCAGTGTCCACACAGACGTGTTTACTGTGGAACAAATCACTTAAAATGTCCACTTCTGACAACTTTCAGATAAACGCAAGGGCCCTGGCGTGAGCCGCATGACTGATATAGTGAAGCAGCTCCATTTCTTGGACAGTCCTCTTACTACTTCGAAAATTAGCCTCCCTTACTTGCCCTCTGCCTACCATCAATGAGGTCTGAGAATAGGGCCTTTTTAGAGCCAGTTTAGAAAACCCCAAACTCACTAGCTGCTCCACAGGTTCCCAAAGAAAGAGCGTGCCTGGTCTTGTGATTGTGTATATATGCTCTGTGTATCGTCATTACACTTTCTGTGGTCTCGTGGAGATGGAGTAGTGATTCAGTCAGACCCAACAGGGCTTTCTAGCTAATTATGGCTGTTCCAACCCCACATTGCAAAGAGAATTCTTTCTCTTATGCAACCAAGGAAAGCGAATTTGGGGATGGAAGTTGCTTGGGGAAGACTGGGAGGTCAACCTGTCTTAAGACCCATTCTCTGTGATCAATACCAAAGGTCGTGTTGAATGAGCCCTGTCTAGAGCAGCCTACAGTCTCGACAGACCCACCTAATTTCCCTTTTCTGTGTTAACAGGCGGTATACATAATACCTGCAGCACTGACCCTTCTCGTCGCCTTGAACCCTCTTGTGACAGGTAGGAAGCTTGCACTCTGGGTGGAGACAGAACAAGTCAGTCCCCTCCCCGTCACCACAGTCTGCTGACCCCATGAACAGGGTGCTCGCGTGGCCTCTCCTTTGCTGTCCTCTAACATGGTCCACTGTTAGGTGGCCTTGAGTCAGTTCTGACCTATGATGACTGCTCCACACCCCCTGAAGGTAGACATTTGTGTGCTGTGCAACTGTGACTTCTACCAGAAAAAGAGAAATGTGGTTTTTTGACATCGTTTAGGAATAGTTCATATTCACGGGGACTAACATTCCTAGTGGCCCATTCTCCACGTTTCTTTCTAAGTTTCCATTCACCGGGCTTGAAAGTTTTGAGGGGTGTTGGGATAAAGACGAATGGTTTGACTGGGTTGGGGAACACAATCCTCTTAACAGGTAGGCTCCTTGTCTAGCCCTCTAGAACGCTGGCTCTATTATTAAAGTGCCCCCATCCAGGCTCTGTTAGTTACACACAACAGAAAGCTCAACTGAAATGGACTTGAAGCTGAAAGGGGAGTGTGCTGGCATACTTACCTGAAACATTTTGAGGTAATGCTGGCTTCAGGCATTGATGGACACAGTCCTTAAACTTCCTTCCACCCCCCAGTTCCACAGTGTTTTGCACTGACTTTACTCTTGGGTACAGAGTAATCATTATGCAGGGTAAACCGTCTAGCCTCAGCACCTATCACAACACTGTCCAACAGAACAGACAGTGTTCTGCTCGGACAGCTCCACAAAACTCTCAGAATTAATTGTTGGCGCCTGGTTGGTCATTCTGAGCCAAGTCACGGTCGCTTATGAGGTTCAAGTTCGCTAATTGGCCTAGTTAAGGTTTAGTTTGCTGGGACACATGGACTGGAGTGAAGGAGGGTGGTGGATCCCTAAGGAAAGTCAGGGTCAATATAAAGGAGGGAGAAATGCTGGGCATTCAAAACAATAAGTATCCAACTCAGTTTATAATTCATGCTTTCTCTCTATTATGTTGTCCCTGGTTGGTGGGGGGGGGGGCGCATTTCCCACCCCCCATCTGAATATCTTTCCTGGAAGCAGATGATGCCAAAGCAAGTCTATAGAGAGTCTCAAGATTATTTTGCTTCAGCTTGTGATTCCATGATTCACATTGCTGGGATATCTTGTTTTGTTCTGTTTTACCTTCCCCAGGTAACTTTGTTTGGAAGAGCGTCTCTGCAGTACACTTATCAGTGTGTGTTGTGTGGGCTCTCGGCTTGGGATACTACCTCTCGCTTCATAGCCAACAGAGCATCTTACACGAGGAAGAAGGCAGGTGAGCAGTGCCTCTTGTTCTTCTGGAGGGGGTGTAGAACTGAGGCACTTTCTGTCCTCTAGGATGCTTTATCTGTGCATGATGGTGACTCAGCCTTCCAGCTACACCATGACGCCTGGGCATGCAATTCCTCCTTTGTAAGCGGAAGCAGCAAGCGACATGATAGACTCAGGATTTGAACCCAGAATTGCCCAACATTCTCCATTACTACGATCACAGGTCATTAATCACAGTTATTACATATCACATTCTATTATCATCATGAGTTGGACTTTGGCTGCCTTATGACTAGCTAGGATGTGATACAGTGCACCCAGTCCAGTCTCATAAGATCAATGCTGTCAGCTTCGGATTCTGTTCTGGTTTGAGCCTAATGCCTACTGATGTGGGCAGCCCCCTCAGCGGTCAGTATTTTCAGTCCATCTCTGGGAGCCTTGGCCTGGAATGTTTCATGCCAGCTCCTCCTTGTCATGCCCATTTTTTCCCTGTCTTCTCACCCCATTCTCCTCTTCCTTTCCAGCCTCCCTGCCCTCACTGGGAGCCCTTCCTATCCCATTACTAATGCCTGCCTGCAGCCCACATTCAAAGATCTAAAAGTTAAGCATCACTCCAGAGGTACCACTTCATTTAGATCCACACACTTATAACAGTGGGAAGCAAATCAGGTTCATGATGAAGGTGGGAATGTAAACCAGATGGGTTGAATTACCTTGAGCCCAAAGCTCAGAGTTGTGGAGCACTCAACATGCAGCTTCCAATGGGAGTGTGGCTGCATATAACTGTTTTTAACGCTATGGAAAAGATCTGTGCCTATGGCAACTATATAGAGGGAGTACAAAAAACAAAACAAATAAGTCCACTCCCATCGAATGAATTCACTTCACTGGGAGAGGTAGATCAACCACCCGTAGTGACCCTATACAGGGTTTATGAGGTTTTAAATCTTTACAGGAGCAGGTAGCCTCACCTGTCTCCCTCAGTGCAGCTGGTGATTTTGAACAGCCAATCTGGTGGGAAGTCCAACACTTACTCAAAAGCACCATTAGGGCTCCCACCAAAACGCCGTAGCCAAACTCACTGCCATCAAGTTGATTCCAGCTCCTTCTTACCCGGTAGGACAGGGCAGAACTACTCGTGTGGGTCCCCCAAACTGCAACTCTTCCTAGGAGTAGACAGCCTCATCTTTCTCCTTCAGAGCAGCCAGTGGTTTCAAATGGCTGACCTTGTGGTTAGCAGCCCAACACATGCCCTGTATGCCACCAGGACCCCTAGTACTCCCAAAGAAGTATACAAAGTCAAAGTCAGACCCACTGCTACGGAGGCAAGTCCAGCTCACAGTGAGTCTGTACACCAGGACCAAACTGCCCCTGTTGCTTTCTGAGACTGTACATCTTTCTGTGAATAAACAGCCTCATCTTCTTTTTTTAAAAATCATTTTACTAGGGGCTTATACAACTCTTAGCACAGTCCATACATACATCAATTGTATAAAGCACATTTGTACATTCATTACCCTCATCATTCTCAAAACATTTGCTCTCCATGTAAGCCCCTGGCACCAGCTCCTCATTTTTCCCCTCCCTCCCTGCTCCCCATCCTCCCATTTTTCTGTAAGCCTCTTCTTCTCTCACAGAGTAACTGTTGGGTTTGAACCACTAACCTTGTGGTTGCAGCTCAAAGCATAGTCCTACTGTGCCATCAGGTCTCCTATAGAAGCATATATTCACCCAAAATCACTAGTGGATCTTTTTAAAGAGATATATATGCACCCAAAAAAATCACTAATGATTTTTATAGTTATTTTACTTTATTATTAATGGGGAGTTAATACATATTTCATTCCATGGTTCAATCATATCAAGCAGTATTATACAATTGCTACCACAATCTGTTTCCAAACATATATCGAAAGACAGAAAAACATACAACACAACTTCAAGAGGGTAGCTCCCAATGACATAACACAGCTGAGACACACCCTAATATGAGCAACCAAATTTTTTTCTGGGTTGCACTACTTCTCCCAGTAAACTGAAGTGATTTATCTGTGGTTTTCTCTTCACCCCCCACCCCCACCGCCCATCATTGCTTAGCTAGGGAATAGTCATGTATTTCATGCCTGTCTCACAGGATGAAATTTATCCTTCATATAAGGCTTGAAACAGTCTGAATAAATTAATTTATAAATAATGGCAAGATTTGAAAATACTCTACAGATGCTTTAGATATTGAGGGAAATCATCCAAACGTGCCAGACTTAAGTGGACATGCATAAAGAGTGAAGATATGTATCTCACGCGCAGCCACTTGGGAATATGAAATGTGTGCTGTTTTACAGAGAGCTGTCTGGCCTGGCGATTATAGCGGCCTGGATAATCCTATGTCACGGTTCATCAAAGTAAGTTTCCAACTCTTTAACTAAAAGCAAATGTCTTCAAGGTTGGTACAATCAAGTAAGGAAGTAAAAATATTGAGAAACAAATGAAAATAAGACTCTTTGAAAATCAATCTCCTACTGGCGATAACCAGGAGGATGGAGGTAGGGTGGGGTCGAAAGGGGGAACGGATTACAAGGATCTACATATAACCTCCTCCCTGGGGGATGGACAATAGAAAAATGGGTGATGGGAGACATCAGACAGTGCAAGATGTGACAAAATAATAATTTATAAATTATCTAGAGTTCATAAGGGAGAGGGGAGCGGGGAGCGAGGAAGAAGGGGAAAACTGAGGAGTTGATGCCAGGGGCTTAAGTGGAGAGCAAATGTTTTGAGAATGATGAGGGCAACGAATGTACAAATGTGCTTGACACAATTGATGTATGTATGGATTGTGATAAGAGTTGTATGAGTCCCTAATAAAATGATTAAAAAAAGAAAAGAAAAATCAATCTCTTCTCTCTCTATGGAACGCTACTAATAATTGATTCTAGTTTTCATGATCACTCATATTGTTATATGGACTCCACTTTCTTTTGTGGCCTAGTACAATATAAAGAGTTACCACCCATGGAGTGTCCTTCAGGGGGAAGGAAGATTGTCTCAAAAGGAACCTTATCAGACTTAGAAAAACACGAAGTGCAAATACAGTAGGAAAGTGTGTAAATGTATATAGATATTGATGTATTGACTGATCCTAATGATGAACTTGAGGTTAAAATGTGTATAAACTCACGGTCATGAAGTTGATTCCCACCCATAGTGACCCTACCAGGCTGCATAGAACTGCCCACTGTGAGTGTCCAAGACTGTAACTGTTTATGGGAGTAGAACGTCCTCCCTTTGTCCCACAAAGCAGCTGATAGTTTCAAACTGCTGACCTTGTTAGCAGCCCAAAACGCATAACCACGACACTACCGGAGATAACATACATACATACCAGCAATGGCATGTGCATTAGAAGAGGATACATGTAATTCTAAGTGCTGTAAGTTCCTTGGATTGTCTGGGAAAGTACATTAGGCTTATAGTAAAACCCATGGTCATCGAGTTGATGGCAGCTCATAGGCTTTGGTAAATAAAACAAAGATTCATTCTGTAATCCTGAGCTAACTACTAGAATAATAGAAGATCTGTGTAGACGTCAGGAAAACAAAGAGGGGGAGAAAAGACATGAGCCCGATGGAACAAATATAAAGTAAATGTTACAACCGATCTGTAAACCCACATATGACCAGTCACTAAGGAGCCCTGGCGACACTGTAGCTAAGGGCTGAGCTTGCTTTGGTTTGAACCCACCAGTGGCTCCATGGGAGAAAGGGCGGCAGCCTGCTTCTGTGGCTGACAGCCTTGCAGACTGTCTCGACTGGTCATTAGGAGTTGAAGTAAACTCCACAGCACACAACAGACACAAGGGAAGGTGGAGGGAGAGTGGGTTGGAAAGAGGGAACTGATTACAAGGATCTATACGTGACCCCC